GCAGCCACTCAGATGCTTCCCTTCCAGCTTAAGCTGCCTATGATTCCACGGTCGCGTTGGACTGACCAAGCTTACCAGTTTCCGCTCCCGCATCGATGGAGTTCGCAGTTGAAGCTGTCACCATCAGAATGTGAAACCTATGATTCTGTTCAGTTTCTCCCACCTGCCAAGCGACCAAGGTACGAGAACAAGAGCTTGATGCGCAACGAGATCATCAGGTCAAGAGTGCCAGACGCCTCGGACATTCTGCCTACCTTGTGTGCTTCATACACACGCCAGCATCAGTTGGCAGAAGTACATCTTGCACAAAAAGGGATAGTTGCATGCCTGACTGAGATTGCCCAGGGTTTCAGCTTTTTCGATGCGGCCATGTTTTGCTCCTTGTTTGGGGCAACAGAATCCGTCGTCTTGTCTGAAAAGATTGGTGAGTCCTTTCTGTTTGTTGGACATGCCATCACTGTGCCGCATAGCATTCTCGCATTGTCCATTGTGCTACATGCCACAAGTGCTTGCAAGGTTGACCCTGTTGGTCTTGTTCGCCAAGCCTGGTCCGATCGACTTACAGCATACAAAGCCATTCTTTTTGCCGACCAAGGGTTGGTACATCTCATTCCTGTGAAAGATTTTTGGCAGTGCGCCAAGCTTTCGACATCCAATCAAGGAAACAATCCTGACAAGCCCTGGCTTTTTGTCGGAACATGTGCTGACCGCCAGTTTGCTTTCCAGGTGAGTCCCAAACAAACAATCCGTGAGGCATTTCGTGAGCAGGTTCAGGCCCCATCCGGGCTGATTGATCAGGTCTGTGGCCTGAATGAAGATATACAGATTCTTCATTCTTCCACATTTGAGCAAATTGTGAACCAAGAGCGTGCCTTTCGCCTTGTTATTGGTCACGCCACACTTGGCACATGCGAGATTCGAACTCAGTGTACTGTCAGCCGAACTAAGGTCATCAGTCACTCACAAGAAGCCCATCATCCTCCAGAAGAAGTTCCTTTTGTTTTGCTTGACTTGGACGCGCGCTCTTCGTCTTCAATTTTTTGGGCGATTCAAGATGTCGTCGAAACACTGCAAGACGACGGGGGAGCAAAAGATGCAACAGCTTCAGTGATTGTTCTGCCAGAGAACCTTGGAGTGACTACGTTTGTGCCCAGCAATTCTCATGTTGATGCACTTCGACAGATCTCTGACCTTCCGATCTTCAGGAACCGCAACAAACGATTGGTGTCCATCCCTGGGGAGGCCAATGCCTATCTGCTGCTCACTGATGCTCCGCATTTTGAGGACTCACAGTCAGTTGAGGTGATCTTGCGGCACAAGAACCAATTTGTGGGAGGTGCCAGAATTCCTTCGCAGGTCGAGCAAATTTACAGTCAGATCAAAAGCACGGGACTTCACCTCAGATTGCAAGCGATCATCGGGTCTGAACCCGATCATCAGCCGCTTCAGTTGAACAATGGTGATATCCTGGACATGTGCCATGCTGCATCCACAAGTGCTGGGGGCATCACATCAACCTTGCAGCTCCGCCATCTTTGCCTGCCTTTGCTGACTTCACGGCCAGAGTTGAATTCCTATGTGACACCCATGGATGGGTTGCGACGGACGAGATGTTCCATTACACTCAAGCATTGCAATGGCAACAAGATTGGCTCAAGTTTGGAACTCCGCAACTGTGGGACGTCTCCAAAGGGGATTTCGAGGAACCTATTTTTGGAGAGTTGCGTATTCTGAACAACACCACTACTGCGATCCCAGTGTTGATTGGAAGTCATTGGGCAGGTATTGAAATATTCAGAAATGGAACTGACACCCAAGTCACGTTCATTCAGGCGCCTGCTGCAGTGCAAACAGCATTGACCTTTCTGGTCGCCAGACTACTCGACATCGCTCCTCATCGCTTTCAGGTGCGCGCCGAACAAAATGATCCTCCCCCACACGTTTGTGGGTGGAACCTGATCTTTCGGTGGTTTCGCAGACATGGAATCCATCAAGGCATTGCGGATATCTCGAACCACATCACTTTGAATGCAGAGTACAACGAGTTGACCCAGCTGGCTATGCAGTGTTCCAGTGAAGATTGGGCACTTGCCCAAATTCCTATCGACGTTGGCCAGCTTGCGTACACTCCTCGGAAGAACTTCCTGTGCTTCCTTGCCAGACGTGAGCTCCAAGGGAGGCCCCATCAGCAGATTGAGCTCCGTTGACTCCGCAGCCACAAGCAGTTGCTTCGCTACCACAGCTGCCATTTGTGCCACTTCCAATGCAACTTGACAGATCTCAAGCTATCAAGAAAATTTCTTGTCAATGGGGTCCTTGAAAGTATTTGGATCCTCAAAATCTGGGTCCTTCATGTTGGCTCTTTTCCCTCTCACAGCCTTCACTTTGGGAGGCCGCCCCAGAAAGCTCAAGCTGCTTTTCACCTCACCTCCCACCCTTTCACTTTGGGGGGCCACCCCAGAAAGCTCAAGCTGCTTTTCACCTCACCTCCCACCCAATGCTGCTTTCACTTTGGGGGGCCGCCCCAGAAAGCTCAAGCTGCTTTTCACCTCACCTCCCACCCAATGTGATAATATGTTGCTCTATACAAACACAATGCCCAAAAATTCCCACCCAGCTCGATGGAGGGCCAGGGGTGCATGAATTAAACCGAAACCCTGAGGATGGTTGGGCAAGGCTTGGTCTCTAAGTGTTGCTCAACCAGTTCAATGTTGAACTTAGGGCCACTTTTTGGTGGTTCGGTCTAAGGCCCCGTTTCCGTGCCGAACTGTCGCCAAAACGTCGCCTGGCCCAAATCAAGGGCAATTTTTTGCTCAGAGTGCTGTGTTGTTGCCACCATGCCGGTTTCAAGCGCAATCACAGACTTGTGCAGCTCTCAGTGACTTTTTGCAATCAATTTTGAACTTTGCTAGGTTAAAAATCAAGATGAAACCAAAAAATCAAAATGAATTCTGACTCAAGGTCAGATGAGGAGGTGGCCGTGGATGATGGCAAGACAGAAAACACATCGCAAAGAAGAAAGGCTTCGCAAT